TCTTTCATTCTCCTCTCAGGATTTTGGGCACACATGCACATGCACCTGGTGTGAGTTTAAGCTTCTGGGTCCAGGACTCCAACTGTGGCCAACTATGTGGGAGTCCAGCGAAGTAACCATTATGCCATCTGCTCGTCCCTATTTTTATTTTCTTAAAAGCTTGCCTGAAAATAAATATGATAGTATAGAATAGAAATGACAGCAAACTGATTAATTATTTAAAACAAAATTCTTATTTGGATATCAGAATTTGGATAAACAGAAAATAATAGACAAATTAGTGAGAAACTCTAATATGAATTGAGAAGTACTAACATGTCAGTGTGTACCTCTACATATTTTTGGACTTTAGATATTATTTAGGACAGCTGAGTGTTATTTGCTTGCTTCTCTAGTTGTATGAAATAGTAGATGATATCAAAAATACATCAAGAACTTCTTTCCATTTCTTTCCTTCATGTCTTTGATGAACATCAACAGGTGCTTCATTTTTGAGTAATTGTTTATACTGATCATTTTAGTTTGATTAATTTTAAGTTTCATAGCTTCTTAAGGACTTTTACATTTGTTATTTTATTTTTTTTCCTTAAAAACTTGGGGGTAAGGAAGGAAAGAAAGGAATTAGTGCCTATTTTGCTGATGGGGTGGTTGAGAGATGTGAAATAGCTGCTGGAAAATTGGTTGTCCAGAATTCAATGCAGGTCTGTGGAATGTAAGGTTCAGCCCCTTGTTTCAGAGAGTAACTTTGCCTGTGCTGACTTGTCAGTCATAGGAGCAATGTTTTCAGAAAAATATTCAAAGTCCACCAGGTATCTGAGGACTTAGGTCAGAGCCTATATTTACTTTACTATAACTTTTGCCTGGGAACTCACTGATAAAAAAAAAAAGAACTCCATTCTTAGATCCAGTAAGTGCGCTCTAGCAGACATGTTAGAGAGCATGGCGTGCAATACCCAGAAGGTTCCTGTCATGAACAGACTAGGTCTAAACACAACACCAGCCACTGACATTTCCCTCTACAGACCTTCAGAGGGAACTCAAGACAATACTGCAACCTTCAGCTAAAATGTATAGTTGGTAAATCTAAATATCTGGTCCCCTGAGCAATAATGAATTGCTAATATGACTATTTTCTTAAAGAATGGTTGTGAAAAAAAAAAAGACCTTTTATAACTACTCATGTGGGTGAAAGCTTGATTTCATCTCCTTGAAACTGCTAAAAAACAAACAAACAAGAAACTACTGAGTTACGTTTACTGAGAAGTATCTCCCTGATCCCATCGTCTGTTCCTGGACTGTACACTCTAGCTTGGGCAGGAATTTGAGCTTTAGCCAAGGGAGTGCCAACTGCTGGTGTTTAAGTCTATTTGCACATACCTGAGCCCTGAAACCTCCATGGATAGAAAGAGGCATAATCTAGTGACAAAGACACTTCCCAAGAAGGCTATGGTAATAATCCTGAATATTTGTTCACTGAATTTTATGAGGGGTATAGACTGTAAGTGAAAAGTCAAAAGAACATGTATAAAACAGAATGAACACTCTATGAAGAGATTAGGGCACAAGTATCTAACTTAGAACCCTCCGAAATGATTATAGTGCAAAGAAGATATTTTCTCCCTACCATTTTGTCCATGATTAACATTTATTTTGACTTTGCCAGATCCCTAATGTTTCATAGAGTCACAAAATTAGCTACACAGAGGAGATTCTTTTGTGGTCATATATGATATAGCATTTGAGGCTTACAGAAAGCATCAAAGTGTTCAATTTCTTCTATGAATAGGCAGAAGTAAGTGCCTATAAAATTTGTGTTATACTTACTAAGTTTTATTAAAAAAATTATAAGGCCAGATGAAACACAGGTTTCATATTAATATTTATTTCAATCTTCACATTACATCTCAGGGTCCAGAACTGTGTGCTTTCGAAATAATAGACGTTTGGTAGTTTCAAAAATTAAATAATGTTTCTTCCCACTCTGTCTTTGTGAAAGTATTTGTATTTTTAATCTGCTGGATATAATATCAGTGCTATTATAAATTACTGGGACTAATTTTGCTGGCATGAATAAGTAGAAGAAAAGACCCATGCTTTTAGTGTGGTCAGGTAGAAGGAAGTTCTTGGAAAAAGTCATCTAAACTGTGGTCTTAAAATGATGAGTCCAAGACTTGGATAGCACACCGTTAAGAAAATAACTTAATGTGCTACTACTTCAGGAAAAAGGTCGACGGTTTTTAGAATGACCTAACCTGGTGTTTAAAAACATAAACAAAATATTTTACTGCTCTTCAAAAATTTACATGGAGTCTGTACATGGAATAGTGTGTGTGTGTTGTGTGTGTGTGTATGTGTGTGTGAGATATCTACTCTTGATCATATGGACATAGATCATTTATTGCAATATTGAAGGGATGGAAGAGCAAATGTTATGATGAAATGGATGATGTCTTTTGTGTGAGAACTGACTAAAAATTTAGGACTCTTTTGTCTGAAAGATGAAGACTGAGGAGAAGAAATGATCAAAGTTTATATATTCATGAAAGGCGTTGCTAACAGGATCATGGACCTGTTAGACAAATCCCAGGGTATTTGGACTGTAGGGCTGTCTTTGAAGTTTGAACAGAGTAATTTTAGGGTAGATGAAAGGAAGTACTTTTATACCATGGGAAGGAAATGTATGGAAGTTTTCAGAAGTTATAGGCTAAAAATACTGTCTAAACATTTTCAGGGAGCATGATAGATCCATATAAGGTTTCTGTAGAGAAGCTTGGGTTACATAGAAGACCTTTTAAGGAAATAGAAAAGAACCATGTTCTTTATGACATTCTCTTAGTTTCATGTTCTAAGTCATAATATGTATGGAAAAATTATTTGTTTCAAGATGTCTGAAGTCACTCATGAATTTTCATGTATGGAATTAGGGTAAAAATATTAACTTGGAATCCATCAGCACCCAATTGGACTATGATTTCTGAAATCCTTCTTTTCATAAAAGATCAGATCAGTGTTTTCTAAGTGGGGTTCACAGATCTCTCTTCACAGATGTTACTTTGATCGTCTGATTTTCAGCCACATTGGATCTAATCAAACACCTCCTTTGGACCAGGGCAGGGGTGACAAAATCCATATTCTATCACATTTTCTTATTGGTGGAGAGGAGTTAAATAAAAATCATATCTACACTTCATTTTCCTCTTATGTTATAATCCAATTGTTTCTAAATAATGACTTCTTAACAAGCCATTCTTTTCACACATGGGCTCTGTGTCTTGATTTAGACCATTTTTACACAAATACCTTTCCTTCCTTCCTCGCCATCTGTTCCATTTGAACAAGCATTCTCTGAGGATCTATCCTGAGCCAGGCACGGCTCTGATTTCATGTTTTTGATCTTCCTAACAATGTCGGGAAGCACACTGGGCAGAACGTATAGATGAGCCATCTGGGCAGTGGCACAGGGACCCAACTTTAGAAGGATCTTGTACTGGGTTATTCAAGGCCCTCTTGCCATTGCCTTGAAATGCTTAATCTTTTTTGTACATAGGACCCTGCACGGTGTTTAATTTTTTTAATTTATTTACTTATTTCCTCCATAAGAGAGAGGGACAGAGAGAGAGAGAAAGAGCACCTCTAACAAGATCCTGGCACTCATCTCCAGCTTCAGTCAGCCCTGGAGCATGGACTGTGTAAACCCCAGCTACTCAGGGAGGTCTTCAGACTTGAACAGGAAAATTCCTCATGTGGGATTGCTTCACAGAGCATTATATTTTACTCCTGCTCCACAGTCTGGCCCAGAGACTCTAATTTTTATTTTGCACTGGGCCCTGTAAATGATGTAGCAGGTTCTGGAGGAATCTACATTGATCCCTATTTTACAAAAGATGAAAGTGATGCTCAAAATCAGTGAGTCAACTCATGTATTAGAAGGACATACTGGAGGATGACCGCTGAGACAGGCCATAAAATCTGCACCTAACTCGCAATCTCCCATGGTGACTGCTCACTGTGTCTCTGGAGGACACAACACTTGGCCCCAAGATTACTGCTGTGGAATAGGACCTCTCTTGGGAAGGGCAGGCTTTGCAGCTGGAGGAGGCGAAGCAGGGCCACTTTGTGCATTTCAATAAAGACTCATTTCCTCTTGTTGACCTTTGCCCTGCCTTGGCCTGATAGACAGGAGATAGTGGCTGAGCAATGGGGGAAGGGTGTGAGGAACACACAATGCTCACACACACGTTTGAATTAAGATGTCCAACTCCTATGAAATGAGCCATTTTGACATGGACGCTCTACACACTCTCTGAAAAATGAGTTTTCTGTATTAGACAATTGTTTCCTCTTGGCTGGGGCCTTTCCTGTTGTCCCTTGGCCCCTGCTTCTGTTCCTATGGCTGTCTGGGGTGACCTCACTGTGATATCACTGCTTAGGCAGCCACAGCTTACCACCCTGCCATCAAGAACAGAACAATGATGCCATTTTCCTGGTGAGCTGGAAAATCCTATATCAAAGTGAAATGTAATATCCAAGCCACCAAGAGCCTTTGTTTTTTGTTTTGTTTTTGTTTTTGTTTATGTTTTTGTTTTTGGAAATTTCTTCCTCCTCCTAGTGGGCTTCTATTTTGTTCCACTTCCTGCAAAAAGGTATTTGACAGGTGTGGCTCTTGGGATAACCCTGATAACCCTGATAGGCACTGACTTGCTGTCCTTTGATAGAATTAGAAATGCTTCCCAAACCCCCTGTTCTGTGAGAACACTGGTCCTAAAATTGTCATTCTGTATGATATCCCTCACCTACCTATTACTTCTTCCTGTGTGAGTGAGAAAATGATGCTTTTTTAAATGTTTTTAAATGATTTTCAGCTAATGATAGAAGCTGCATAGCCAGATGGAAAGACGTGGGTTATCGGTGCCACCAGAAGGTCTTTACAATTAAGGATCCTGGAAGAACACAAAAAATAAGTTGTGTTGCCCAAGAAAAGAAAGGGGGGGGGCACTCACTTTAAAACGTCCTTTCCTCAGCCATCTTATTTGCATCATGATTCAGTCATGGCATCGAATAGCTTTCCGCCACTGTTACTTGAAATCATCTCCACTGTTAGGGTCCATTTGTATTACATATCTGGAAGAAAGCAGAGCAGAAAGGTGCTCCCAGGCAGTGCTGGCTGCATAGGCGTGTGCCGTGAACTTAGTGGTATGCTCTGCTATCACCGTCTTGACACTGAGTAATTTCTTTACAAAGACACCCCCATTTTCATGTTGTTCTGGATCCCACAGATTCTATGCCTGGCCTTGCCCATCAGAGATTTTCTTCCAGTGTTAATGCTCCCCCCTGAATTCCTAAAAGTCCTTTCTATGATCCTATGGAATCACTTCATCCTGCACTTAAAATTTGGTAAAAATATGTTACATGGGTGCATTTGTGCACATCTGTCCTTTTTAATTGACACATACTTGCACATATTTACAAGGTATAGTGTGATGTTTCAACACACCTATAGAACCTGGAATAATCAAATCAGGGTATCAAACAGCATATCTATCACCTCAGATGCTTATCATTTCCCTGTGGTAAAGACTTTCTGTATCCTTTCCTCTTAGCTATTTTCAGGTATATGGTACATTATTTTTTAATTTTTTTTGAGAGATATTTTTGCTATAAGGCACATGCACTTGCCTGAAAGACGTAAAGCAAGAAATTACCTCCTGGGAAGATGGGCATGTAGCAATCCCTTCTCCTCCATTCTTTTGAGATTTAGGGCACACGTGCACACATGCCCAGTGTGAGTTTTATGCTGCCCGGTCTGGGACTCGAACCACAGTTGACTATGTGGGAGTCCAGCAATGTAACCATTATCCTATCTGCTGATCCCAGTACATTATTGTTAACTATGGTCACCCTACTATACGATGGAACACTAGAACTTATTCCTCATATCTAACTGTAACTTTGAATCTGGTGACCAAATCCTCACTACCCTTTATAGCCTCTTGTAGCTACAATTCTACTCTCCATTTCTATGAGATCAACTTTCTTAGATTCCACATATGAATAAGATCATGTGGTATTTGTCTTTCTCTTCCTGGCTCATTTCACTTAACATAATGTCCTTCAGGCTCATCTATGACATATGTCTATTTTTAGAAGTTACATATGAATAATAAGAAAAAAAGATCCTCGCAGATATATTTTGAATAACGATGATAAAATAATAGAAAAGCTCCCGAATCAATTTCACATCCATTCATAGGCATATTTGCTCCATCTGTTCCAATGTAATTTTAATATTTGTCACCTTCATCTAGGGCATGATATTCTTGGATTACATTCTAGTTTATTCAGTTAGCACAGGATAAAATGGGTGACCCCTATTCTTAAATGCTCCATATTGAAAGTCGGGATGCTTTGTTAATATCATTAAAATCACATCTCTGACCTCTAGTGCCAATAAGCAAAAGGCTTACTCTCTTATGAGTTGCGACACTTGACAAATTTACCTTGAAGAAATTCCTTTACATTTTTGAAAACTTATATTGAGCCATTGACAATGTCATCTATGTTTTAGTCATTTAGTCATTATTTGCTTTTATACATGGCTTCTAATTTTCTTCTTTTTTTTTTTGAGAGATTTTTTGCTATGAGGCGTGTACACTAGCTAGAGAGAGAGAGACAGAGAGAGAGAAAGTGAGAAATAACCCCCCAGAGCGAATGGCCACACCACAGTCTTTTCTCCTCCATTCTCTTCTTGGGATTTTGGGGATGTGTGTGTGCATGCACGTGCACATACACACACACACACACACACACACACACACACACACTCAGCATGAGTTTAAGCCACCAGGTCTGGGATTCAAACCATGGTTAACTATCTGGGAGTCCAGTGACATAACCAATATGCCATCTGTTGGTCTCTCTAATTCTCTCTTTAATGATAGCAAGCACATGCTTGTGAGAAAGAGAGGGGAAACTCTCTGCACAGTGCCTCATCCTGCTCTATTCCCCTTTCCTCAGCCCTCTGGATCCCAGTTATGTGTGTACACCTGTTTTATTCAGGTCAATTCAAAGATCCAAAATTGAGGTCAGATATATGGCATCTAACTTTAAGGGACTCTTTAGATTTCAGAACACATGCATATGATTGAATGGCTACATTTATAAGTGGAAGAAAAAAGCAGGCAAGAAGACTAATGTTCCTAGTGACTATATCTCTTAGATCTTACCCACAGGAAGTTGAGGAACAGAATTTGGAATTTGGCCTCCTTCTTGGTGTTCATCCGTTGTCTTGTAACTGGGATTGGCAAACTTCTAGTGTAAGGGCCAGAGAGTTAATAGTTCAATATTCTGGAACTATACTGTCTCTGTTGCAGCTACTCACCTCACAGCTGTCACAGAAACAGCCATAGATAGACACCACATAAGCCAATGACACCACATAAGCTGCTATACACACACACACACGCTGGATCTGGCCTTTTGACCATTGGTTGTGGGCCCCTGGCCCACATCTGTCATTTGAATCCACTTGTACCTTTCCCTGTTAGATAGTACAACCCTACCCTAGTTTAAGTACAAGAAATTATCATTCTTTTCACTTTCTGTCCCAGTTAGAGAGGACAGAAAAATCTTTTAAAAAGTCCATACACAGAACTAAATGGCTAATAATGCTTAACTTATAATCCTTCCTGTGGCATATATGTCTGTCTGTGTTTGCGTGTGTGCGTGCGTGTGTATGTGTGTAGTGGAGGGAAGAAAAGATGGAAGAATGAGAAGAGGAGATGAAAGGATGAGTAAAGATTGCTCTGGTTAGACTTAAGACACATGAGCACCAGTCCTAGGTCTGTGCTTGACAGACTTGGCAGAAACTGGGAACCCATTCTATACCTGGTCCTCATACTGCATAGACCATCCAGTTCTCTTTCACCAAAGTTCTTCCAACCACCTACAAGGGGAATAAAGGTACTTACTTCTACAGAACAGTTCTCGGAGAAGACACAATCCACTTGGGGCATTCAATAAATCAGACCCAGCAGGATGCAATGGAAAAGCAGTTGACTGTTATTCTACCAACATTTCATCCTCAGTATTGAAATTTCACCAGGTGCCATACCTTCTCTGCTCATATAGGCTACTATTACTATCTCAGACCATTTTCTAATCCAGAATGTCTACTTTTCTCCAGTTCAAGTGGTGGAATCAACTTCTCCTCCTTAGAGCTCTAGAGTTAGCTGTTTGAGGAGAATATGACTGCGGTGATAGGTGTGGTCTTCCAAGGCTGGACAGTCACACATAGTGATGGCCCTCTGAGGGTAACTCATGTACACCTGCTGGTCCTACCTGTCTGATGTTTGTGATTTCCTGGAAACTCTCTTCAGGAACATCTGATAGCAGTCCACAGTGCTACCTATTTCTCTGGGTCTGGCTGCTCTCAATTGCTCTTAACACTTTCCTCTTTCTCCTGTTGTAAGGTCCTATGGTGCATGGAATCTCCTTTTATGGGGATCTTTCCTAGCAGACAGGCCTCTTGGGTAGATTCTCTCATTCTCTCTCAAATAAGGGAGCCTCACTCTCTTATAGGAAATCTACTTCCAATCTCCAGATTGTATGCTTTGATCCTGTTGTTAGTAGATAGATAGCCTATGCCCCCTCTCTGTTTGACAAATCAAGCCAGGATGTGCGTTTATCATTTTTCAACATAAGTCAAATATTAATCACTATCTTCCTCAAATCCTAGGAGACATATCTAAAAATCGTTAACTGTTTTTCCTCAAGTTTCCTTTACTTATCATAAGGCAAAGAGGACACAAATCTTTCCTCCTCCAACATGTGATATAAAGCATGCTGATGGCTATTTCTGAAGGTCTCTTTAACTCTCATTGTTTATGTCATAACCTTGCCACACAAAACACAGAATTCTATGATGTGGCAACTCTGTTCACCGTATCCTAAGAAGGTAGTCCTGAAGTCAATTTTAGACTGTATAATTTCGTGGTACTTGTAATGTACTGTTGATGTTTTTGTTGATATTCTTGTTGTTGTTAGTGGTGGTGGTGACTGTGGTGGTGTCAGTGGTGGTAGAGGACTTGGGAGCTTCTGCTGAAACTCCTAGGATAACGAGAGAAGCACATTTAGTATGTGGTTACAGCTTCATGGAGACACTAGTGGTTTTAGAAATGTTTTTTCATTTTGCTTTCCAGGTGCCAGTAGATAATCTTCTTGATGAAAGAAAGGAAGGATGAAAGAAAGAAAGGAAGAAAGAAATTCTGCCTAATTAAAAGAGATAAGCAAAAGTTCCCCTATATTTTTACTATTATTAAAAAGTATTTTGCTTTAAAAAGTATTTTAACTGTTGTGACAAATAACCAGAAGAATTAAAATACACCTTGTAATATTTATGTATATCTTAATGTTCTTCATATATTTTTGTAATTTCCCTACTGCCTTGACCTGCAGTAGGTAAAAAACAAAAAGGAACAAAGCATACAGCACCTATATTGCTATTGCAATAACTGCTCATTGATGGCTAACACTGAAGAATGAGGATGATGGCTTCACTTCTCAGGAAGAATGGTCTGTTTTGTGATAGAATCTATCCCTTGTGCATACTGATATCTTCTGTAAGTAGGTGCTCTCCATTCACTGCCTGGTGCCATGACTGTCATCCTCTTTGACAAAACAATATGCTCTCTGAATAACTACAATTGGAAATATGTGGTCATAAATACTTAAAACCAGATATAAGGATGTTTCTCTAACCCAAAGATTTCTTCTAGCTTTTGACCTGAATCATTCTACCTCCTTTTGAAAACGACCCATAATCTAAGTATAAAATTGTCTTTACATAGAATATTTTTTGTTTCTCTATACCAATTTGTGTTTCTTAGCTTTTGCTGCATATAAATCACTCTGAAACTGAAACAGTTTAGTAGGATAATTATATTTTAGCTCACAATTCTGCAAGTCTACCATCTGGGCTGGAATCAGCTGGGGGCTTCTTCTGCTGATCTACCCAGGCTTACTCGATTGACTACAGTCACCTGACATTGTTTACAAACTAGCTCTTCCTAGATGTCCTTTCTCATGAGCCACATTTTTCTAGCATCTAGCGGTCTGGCTCTGATTTCTTCCTATGGCATCCATGTTGTATAGCTCTGAGAAAGAGAGAAACAAACATCAGCACCCAGGATTTTTTAGGACTTTTCTTTGTACCTGATTCACACTGTCCTATTGACCAAAGAAATGTTCATGATCGATTCCAGATTCAAGCACAACATAATGCTAAGAGTTGAAAAGTAATTTTGTCCATATATTTTTTAATCAACCATAGTATGAGTCTTGTCTATAATGAATAAGACAAATTGCTAAACCCATAAATTAGAATAAAGTTTAAATTTTGGATTTTTAATTTATATAACATTGAAAAATTCTAAAACTACTGGAAAAGCTTTAAATTTAGACAAACACACACACACACACACACACACACATAAAATACAAAGCACATGTCCCTGAGATAATTTTATGTCAACTTGAGTGGACCCTGGGATACTCCTAGATTAAACATTATTTCTAGGTGTGTCTGTGAGGGTGTTCCTGGACGAGATAAACATTAGGATTGGTGAACTGAGTCAAGCAAATCATGCTTCCCAATATGGCCAGGCATTTCTGAATCCATTGAGGGCCTGAACAGAACAAAAGGCAAGGAAGAACTTGGTCCTTTGCTTCCTGCCCTCTTGCTTTACCTGGTACATCTCACCTCATCTTGACCTTATACTTAGATTTACATTATTGGCTTCCCTGTTTCTCAGACCCTCAGACTGAGACTCAACTACACTACTGGCTTTCCTTGCTTTTCAGCTTGCAGATGTGCATCATGAGACATTTTAGCCTCCATAATCACATAAGCCTATTCTTCATGATGTATTATATAAATAAGCACACACACAGACTCACTTGTATGTTTCCTCAGCCAACAGGATATGTGTCTTTGGATTGGAGATGTTCTCCCTCCCTGCACAAAATGATAATAGGTAACATTTATATAGTACCTCAAGTGTGCATGGCAAAGCTTCATAGTCTTCTCATATTTTAATTATTGATATTCACAACTCCATGGGGAGGTTCTATTAGTATCTCCTTTCATGTAAGGATCTTAAGTCTCAAAGAGGAAAAGGAATTTACACAGGTTCACACAGATAAGAAATGAGATCCTGTGATTACAACCCATGGAGCCTCACTCCAGATTCTAGGACTTAAATGAATGCATGATACTGTCATTTGACTTTTTTACTGCATCTCCTTTCTTATTGGCATGACCACGATGTGGTTGAAGCCACAGTGGCTGCTGTGTGACTCCAAAATAGCACACTGGTGATATTGTGACAACCACATACTAGCCCTGGACTTCCTATGTTCAGACTTCTTGCTTGTTGACAAAAATAAACCCTTTAAATTGTGTAACCTGTTGTGTTGATTTTTCTGTTACTCAAATAATTCTAGTTGATCAAACAATCATATAATTTGATTTTTTTTAATTCACAAATACTCTCAGACAAGTTTCCATATGAATATCAAAGTGTATAGGTTTATAAGCACGTTCGTAATGTCCACATTGGATTTTGTCACATGAATGTCCAAATAATTGTTAATAAGTCTCGTTACATATACATATTTAGTATGCTTCTAGTTGTTTACTATAACAAACAAGATGTGGATGCCCTTTGTTGTGTCCAGCCTCCTTCCAAGTGGTAGAAATTGAGACTGGTGGATTTAAGCAAAACAAACAAAGGATGTACTGAAAGGATTTCTGGTGACTCATAGAGTCAATAGAACCGATAAAGTACATATTTAGAAAACAAGATAAATAAAAGGTTGAGATGGAGAACTGAAGCCAAAACCATGCCCCTAAATTATTGCCATGTTAGATGCAGCAGCCACAATGGCAACTGGTCTGGTTAGTCTCACAGGCTGCTACCAGCATCCCACCTCTGTTTTCCCTAGAACAGAGATCCTGTAACTCAACCAATGCCTCTGCTTTTCTGTATAACTACTTCCAGGTTCAACTCCCCTGTGGTAGCAAGATCAGATTGAGACTCCACCATTGTATAACATAGTATCCTCCAGGATTATGCAGGGAGATATGGCCATCGCAAAGGGGGCACCTGGCATCTTAAATTCCCAGCAGGGATTATACAATGGGATTTCCCCTAAGTAGAGAAAGGAGGTCTAGACAGTGTATAGCCAAAGCAAGAGAGAAAGATAGGGGTCTCCCACATCTTAATACATGGGAATTTCTGTATTTGTGCAAACCAATTCTCAGAGCAGGTCCTTAGAAGTTGGGTAACTAGGTCTAAGGTTTCTATGTATTTCCAAATCTGATATTTCCAAATTCCCCTCACAAAATGTTTATAGACATTTATATTCTGATCGACAATGTGTGCAAGTTCTGATTTCACTATGTCCTCAAAATACTGTATATTTTCAGTTATTCAAGTTTGTATAGGAAGCACTTAAATTCTTTCACAAATGTTAACTGGAATAGTCCAGTCTTGGTCTGTCTGTGATTTTGCATACTTTGCATGTGTGGTTTCTCTTTCTCTTTTGGATTTTTTTTTTCTTTCATGAGAGACAAAGAGAAAGATAACCCTTAATAGGGTCTCATGCTATGATCCACACCCATTTTCCTAGCCTTCTCAGCCAGTGAGGATGACAGGCATGTGTGTGCCCAGCACGTACAGTGCAACCCACGAACAGAAGTCCGACCTTCTGTATGGCTTCCAGCACTGCAGAGTGTTGCACCACTGCTGTGCCACCATGGGCAGACCTGGTTTCTTCTAAAATAATAAACAATATTTTCAAGGAAGTACAACAGTTAAGATACTAATGAAGTTCCTTTAAATCTCTCAGAAGATTGTAAGTTTCTTCTATAGCCTTGCATAAGTATTAATAGAAATCAAAATATAGTATTACATATGTATGTCTATGTATTTGCACATAACTTTCTATGTGTGTGTTTAGTGTGTGTG